AATGTTTGAATGGATGGATGCAAGTTGGTTTGAAGGTATCTCCAGAAAGACTGAACGAATTTAGATGAAATTTGGCATACATATAGAACGTAGTCTAGAAGAACACATAGAATACTAATTATGTTTTTGTGTGATTCCGCACGGACGGAGTCGCGGGCGATAGCTAGTGAAATGAAGTTGACGTTGTTTTGTATTTTTATAACCTATACAGCTACTAGAAATGCCACTTTATATTGAAGTTAAGTCACATTTTGTGTGCACGTAAATAAACCATAAAATATTTTTCTAGCAAGATCTTGCTTTTAACTTTTATCGTTTTGAATAATACATAACTTTTTATGAAGTACGAACATGACCTAAAATAACTTTAATAATATAATGATGAAACTTTAGCCAAATAGCCTAAGTCGTAAAGAACCACTTTGTATTTACCGTAAAAGATACCCTTGCTTAAAAGATTCAAACACAATGTTAATTCTTCACTCTACCTCTTATTTATATCTCTAGTTCTTGACCGTGACTTTTTCTCTTGAAATTAAAATAAAAATAATTAGTAGCTAATTTGTTCTTCTATATCAGTCTTTCCCAAAGTGGGCGATAACGCCCCCTTGTGGGCGCTGCAGGTCTCAAGTTGCGGGTTATAGTAAAAGTTTCGTTTAGAATTCTCCGTTAATATACATATATAGGTCACAATAATTAATTAATTTGAAGTTATAGTGGTTTTTTAAATATCTGAAAATATGGGGGCGCTAAAAATATTTATTCTCAAATTGGGCAATAGACAAAATAAGTTTGGAAACCACTGTTCTATATCCATGCCAACTTTCAGCCATGCAAATGGCTGTAGGAGATACCTGTGAACAAATATCCATCCATCCAAACATTCGCATTTATAACATTAGTAAGATAAAATAAGTGTATGTGGCTAAGTTTCTTTCCAGAACATGTTCTATTTCTTTACCAAATGTTATTTGCACCTGTTCAGTTGTTCTGGAATTATTTGGTAAAAATGCTAGTATTAAAATGTGTTAGTCGAGCTATCTAAAAAAAACTTTATGAGTTATGTTTTTTTTTAAATAACTTTTATAATCAGGCTAACTAACAAAAACGTTTTTCTCTTCTGATTAATCTACAAAATTATAAAATTAAATAACTTTATCATACTGTTAGGAAGAGACTCGAAAATGTGGCAGTGTATTGTCCCAACACTAGCCTTACTAAAATGTCGACGTTTATGTCCCCTCACTATTCATTCTGTCACTGGACTTTGTAACGAAAGCACGCCATTCTCGTCAATGGATTCTTATTAATAATGTCTAAAAGTACTTATATATGTAATACATAGACTTAATTAGATAGATAAATAGTTGATACAATTACTGCGCATTGTATCAGTGTTTGTAAAATCTCTAATCATATTATTAGTCACGTATCGTCGCAGGCAATGCGCGGAGGCCTTACAAATTGTTAAATTGTATGTTAACATGTGTGGGTACATGTTAATATGTAATATGATACGATTACATATTCATAGAGCTTCATTTATAGAGTTTTTTTTGTATTTATATTATGTTAAAAATGTATCATTATCATCAGCTTACTATACGTCTCCTCTGTGGGGTTTGGAGCCTACCCTAAGGCCGGGAGTCCAGCAAAGCGGATACGAAACGAGCTGAGAGATGTTTTTTAAACGACCAATAGAATTGTGTTATTGACACATCTCTCCGCTCAGCTTCAGTGGAGATCGCTGTGCGGAGATGTGAGCTGTGCACAGACGACGCGCAGTGAAAACGAGAGATTTGAGTACACCACACACATCTCCGCTTTGGTGGAGTCCCCCGAGCTGAAAAACATCTCTTCTCGCACAGCACACCGCGCACCTCTGCTTTGGTGGAGTCCCGGCCTTAGGTTTACTAGGTCATAGTCAACCATTAGGGATTAGGTCTGCAGAGGTACTGTTTCGCCTTGCGCTTGACAGAACCAAATATTCCAAGTTGGCGGCCAACCTTCAAGACTAAAGAGACACTGGAAGAAGTCAACCATGCTGGCTCAGTGCGGGTTGGTTGATTTACACATATATTTGCATATGCAGGTTGCATCCCGATGTTTTCCTTCGCCGTTAGAACGTCGGATAAATGTCCAAATGTAAATCGAAACAAAACATGGTGAGATTCGAACCCCCAGTACCTGCAATTTACAAATGAAGTGCTGAACCCCTGAGCCACTGACGCTCAAAAATGTCTATAATAAAATATTTAGTACATAATAATTAAGTATTATAATTGTCTTATTTAGTAATATTAATTATTGTTTAATGTCATATTATATTTCAATAATTTCTTCGTCCATTAATGATGTAAATTTGTCAATGAATTTTCAATATCATTAGGCGATTAAAAATGTTAGTTCTTAGAATCAAACCGGGAGTCTTCACTGTTAAAATTCTATGGAAATAAATATTGTTGTCTCTGTCACACTTTCCAATAAAATTGAGATAACAATAAAGAGAGGTTCATGTGTTTGTATTTCGACGTTCGAAATTTGAAATACGAAATTCGAATTTCTATTTTGAATTAAATGAAACAAAAGTATTACTTACTATTTTTATTTGTCAAAGTTTTTCTTACAATTACAGTATATTTTCAACTTAATTATTTCTACATTTTATTATTAAAAGTAAAATAATAAATAATTATTATTACATAATAATAAAAGAAAACTATTAAATGTTATTTACAAATTGCTATTTACATACTTACTATTATTAAAAAAAAACATTATGACATAAATATTTATCTTACAAATACTAAAATAACTACAATGGGCAAGTGTTGGGTGCTTTGTGTACAGAGTATTTACAACCCGAGTAAACAATTTGTGTACAATATATTCTCCTTTTCATACCTTTATAATGATAAATTAAACTGACCTACTTTCTTCTTTAAAACATTCAAAAAATGAACACAATATTACTCATTACATTTCTCATTAAAAAAAAAATCTGAAAAAAAAATTGACAGCAATAAAGCAAACCTACCCAATCGAAGACTGTTTGGCAACAGCAAGAAAAACATAACCTATACTAAAATTCAATAGAAGTAAAAAAAAAATCGCTTACCTAAATGGACTGGCTATAAGACTTGGTATCATGTGCCTATTTGATTTTTACCATTTTGGCGCTGATGGTAGCGGTTTGGAGCATTGGCGAAAATACGAACTAATAATATAGATATCATTCAGCATCAGCTCACTATACGTCCCCACAGAGGGGCTCGGTGCCTACCCTAAGTTAAGGGTGATTAGGCCATAGTCAACCACGCTGGCCAAGTGCGGGTTGGTTGACTTCACACATAACTTCGATTTTTTTCTCAGATATGTGCAGGTTGCATCACGATGTTTCCTTCACCGTAAGAACGTCGGATAAATTTACATATGTTAATCGGAAATCGAAAAAATACATTGGTACATGGCGGGATTTGAACCCAGGACCTGCAGATTGCAAGACAAGTGCTTGACCCCTGAGCCACCGACGCTCATATAGTTAATAGATAGATATAATTAACTATCATGTAATATAAACAGTATCGGTTGATTTGGATTAAAATAATAACTGTCATTTCCAAGCAATCGCCTGTCTATTTATAGAGATCAGTCTAAATTTACACATATCACTGGCTGGTAACGTTTTTTTGTCTTTGTGTTTTGTTTTGGAACGTTTTGGTATTTAAAATGATGATGATAATATGTCTGTTTTTAATGTGTCTTTTGGTACATTATTTTAAAGGTATAATTGTTAACGTACGCTTGTAATTATTTATCATTTCCTTTGAATTTGAGTATAGGTTACCACTGTTTGCTTTTCTCAAAGATAATACTGGCTGAATACATATTTTATGAAGAGTTTAGAGAATTATTTCAAATAAAGAATTACAATTCTTCTTTTTCTTTTTCATCTCTATATTTAAGTGCCCTAAATTTTTTTAATTAGTAATTAAATTCAGTTATCATTTTTATGTTTTTTGTTAATTATAATTTCCTCAAACATTTTAAGATACAATTTCTTTACTAATTAGAGGATTTTCTTCAAACTCTTAAAGTCCTAATTGAAACCACTTTAGAATCCAGAAAATGTAATTTAATTTTCGACGTTTTTTTTTTATTTTATAAAGGTATTTTTACTCGCTGCTGCCAAATATTTTATTTACTATGTAAAATAAAAATATGAATTTTCAATTCATAGCCAAAAATTAAAGATTTTTATAATGCTATGCATCTTAATGAAGGATTAAATTCATTTTTCGCCCATTTATGACAATTTTTGCTAATTAATTTTAACAGTCAGAACTTTTTTAAACAACATTGCATTATTTATTAAATTAATTTGTTGATATTGTGTGTTAAATTATTTCCTATAATACTAGATTAAATTCATCTTAGATTTAAATTAATAAAGTTAATTTAAATCGAAAGTTTGAAAATCAACATCTGCGTATCAAAAGTCTTAATTACAAGTGTTACTAAATCCAAAGTCTAATCTTAATTTATAGATTTATAAATTTTGTATAGGTTGGTATATAAAGTACTAGTAAGTTTAAAATAAAAGCAAAACATGGTTGAAAAAATAGTTGTTCAAAGAAACAAAGAGTTGTAGAGCAAAGCTAACTTTAAACATTTACGACCCAAAGTAATCCGATAAATTCAATGTCAGTTTATAAAAAGAAAACGATCCCCCTGTAGTTTGATAGAGTTAATATTACTTTCTATTCTGATAAATAATCAGATAAAAACAAATCAAACACTGGCAGAAAACAATTCCGAAAACTTATCAACTGAAATTAAAAAAAAAACACATGTCAAAGGTCATTGCGGTCAAAAGACTTGTTCTAACCTGTTCAAATACACATATTACCCTAAAACTCTCGAGCACTTTTAATACTATTGTCATCTCTTTCATTCATTTTGACAAAACAGAGAGGAACATTTAATTGCAGTGGGAATTCAAAATACTTATTGAGAGAAAAACGATTATCAACGGATTACCGAGGGTCATAAAACAAAAAGGGATCAGACACATAATCTCAAATCTGACGCCTTACTTGATGAAGGCCGAGTTTTGTAACTTTCATCTGAAGCCATCAATGGTGCTGGTGTAAAGAGTCGCGATGGTGCAGTAGAGAGAGATGAGCAGGTTTACTGATAAAGCGCAAGGTGACGCTGTGTTTGCATTACCGTGCTGCATCGCTGCTGGATGTTCCCCTGAAAAGAATAGGATATTTTAGAAAATCATACCTCACCTACAAGACAAATAAAACTGTCTTCTAAATAAACTTATATAAAAACGGCTAAACACTCACGTACATATATTCGTACGGTGGCGGCATCCACTAGTTTCGAGCCCTTCGGTGGCCCTTCATCAGGGTGAGTGGGACTGGTATTATTTCGCGGACGCAGCCCTCAGCTCACTGAAGGGTCGCCGATGGGCTCGAAACCAGGCGGTGCCGCCACCGGACGAATATACGTGAGTGTTTAGCCGTTTTTATACGAGTTTATTTTAATGTCGTTTAAATGGTATTAATTGGTAAATGTACATATCTAAATCGAAAAACACATTGTTACATGGCGGGATTCGAACCCAGGACCTGCTGAAGTACAATGCTTTAACCCCTGAGCCACCGACGCTCTCTATATCTATTATAAATTAAATAATTAAAATTAAATACTAATCGACCTGGTTTTAGCCCGCCTTCGCTCTTTTATGGAAACGAAAGCCATGCCCATTGCCGAACAGTTTGGATTTCGCGCCAAACATTCATGCACTCATCAAGTGCACCGCATCACGGAGTACATTCTTTCC